CTTGTTTCCCTGGGGTGTAAATTTGAAGTAACACATTTGTCGTCGCCACTCTTCAAAATGGGACAAACATGAGAACATATTTAAGTAAGGTATGTCTAAGTTGATCTTCATGAGTTAGGAACGTACTATAGGGAAATTGTCCAAACTTGCATCAACAGTCAGAGCAATAATTTAAAAATCGAAAAGACTGAAGTTTATCTTTCCAGAAGAAACGGTAAGAGGAACGCTAAGTGTTTAAAAACAAAATCTCCTAACCTCTCAGTTTGAGGACTGCAGCAAAGAGTGGCATCTTGGGGTGGTCTGGTCTCCATAGCAACTGTTAGATGCAATTTACATGATAGAAGAAAATGTTCTATCCTGTTATCACAAATCCTGTTATCCACGTGTTTGTTATTACAAACGTGGAGTTTGCAGGGCTCTACTGAAACTTTAAAGAAGACGCTCTGTATGAGAGGCTGAGCTTTGGGGCAAAAAAATCTCCAGGTGGAACTGGCTTAAAACAGTCGAAGTTATTTCTGTACTTCCCCCCTCCCCCCCAAAGGTAATCAGATTAATGGCTGAAATTTTTGAAATTTTATCCTGGGATAATTCACCTACAATAAAAGACTAATTTATTTGACATCTTTTTGTACTTCTTTACCAGGGGAGTCGAGCAATATGTTTTTTCAGCACAAAAACAAATTGCATCTGTAGCTAATTACAGCTGCGCTCCCACTCCCTCCCGCCTGCAGGGGCGTTTTAACGCATCGAATCATGAACGCATCCCGTTTCCTCCTCAGGTCAGCTTCCCCCTGACTTCCATTGCGAGGTGGACCCCTCGGTGTTCGAGCCCCCTCCAGATTACACCACCCTCGGGCCGGGCCGCAGCGAGCCGCTGAGGGACGAGGACGACAACCTGCTGCAGTTCGCCATCCAGCAGAGTCTGCTGGACGCCGGCACCGAAAGCGATCAGGTGCGAGCGCCGCCGTAATCAGCCCGGCGCAACGAGTACAGCGCCTTCAGTTTGGCTCAGACAGTCGGGGAGACTTTGGACAGCATAGATAAACGAGTAGATTTATTGATGGATTGCTTTATTATAACAAGCAGAATGTGATGAAATGTGGTGCCAGTAATAAAAAGTGAGTGATAAAGAAGAGCAGCGGCTTCGCCAATAGACCATGAAGAATGTCTGCAAGGCGGATCGAAAACGTTTATGGAGTTCTGCGCAGAGATCTGATGATTGTTGTGCAGCATGTTGCTGTTGATGTCGGAGGTTTATAGATTTTATTCTGCAGTTTCATTTACTAGAATAAATATTCTTATAGACTTGTGAACTGAAGCAGCTGGGCTGTTGTTCACTGTAATGTGATGCAGCCTTGTGTGTGACTGAATGCAGGTATTGAGTTTTTCGCAGTGACACTCGAGATTCCCTCCTTATCTTTGTGCACCTTAATGACACAACCCATATATTCCTGAACTATTTGTAAAATAAAAAAAAAATAAAAAAACGTAGATAAGGATTTGTGCGGAATTTGTTATGGTTAAAATAACACAACTAATTAGGAAGATTCCTCAGCATTTGGAGACGTATCAGTGGAGATATTTTGTGGTTCTTTTCTCCTATGTCTCCTTTATAACCTGTGATTTCATGTATTAGTCAAACTCAAGGTAACACAAACTTGTAAAGTCACAGGAAAATTGCAAAGTTTCAAAAAATTTTAATATAAAAATCCAAAAAGTGCGGCAGACCCTGTTATTAATCCCCCCCTGAGCCAATATTTTGTTGAACCATCTCTGTTTTGTTGTGCGTCTCTACCGCCTTTCACACATTTAGCAAATGTAAAGCATCTTTTAAATATCAAGTCCACCTGGACTAAGCTCTGGACTTTGACTGGGCCATTGTACCTCATAACTGTGCTGGGATCTAAATGGTTCCCCTGTGATTTTTCCTGAGTTTTTAAGGTCGTCGTTTAGCCTCTTAGAATTGCTTTGACGCAGCATGATGTCGCTGCAACATGTTTTCGTAGCGACGTCATGTTTCCACAATGCTGAGCCTCTGACATTCAGGTCAAAGACATTTATTTTGGGTTCTGTAAAACGCTTGCCTTCTTCCTTATGTTTGCTGTGTCCATAGTCTTTCAAAAAGGCTGACTGTACAGAGCACAACTAACAGATGTTTGTCTGTGGATGTTTCCATAGAAAATAGTTTGAGAGTAGATGATTGTTTGCATAATTTTAGTTCAACTTCACAATAATTTGCTACTTTGCTAAATGAAATACATGATAAAATGTGCAAAAGTTCAAGATGCCTGACTGTACTCCAAAGGCTGGATTAAAAACACTGACAGAGTCATGTGAAAATTTTTAAGTCAAGTAAAAAGTAAGTTTATTGTTGACTTGAGACGTTAAATTAATTCAGAAAACTGCTTTTGACATGTTCTCCCTATATCTAGTTATAAATACCAATAATTCAGCATAAAAATGTTACGTCATTGGCGTTGTTGGTCCAGTCTGGCGTAGCTTCTGCAGAAGCAGCAGCGTTTCTTCATTTGCCTGCGTCTTTGCATCTGTTTTTCCTCCTTGAGTTGGAAAGCGCAGAGCTCTTTTTAACACTGTAGATGCTGCTCTTAGTCGAACATTGAACTCTGAGCAAGCACTTCTTTTGTCTAAAGCCAGGAACCATTTGCTTCTAAATTTCCAGGTGACCATCTGGGAGGCGCTGACGAACAGCCGCCCGGGGCCGCAGTCTCCGCTGTATGAGGAGGACTCTCAGCTGGAGAGGTGAGAGGATTTTACCTGCTGCAGTCATCACTCTACTGGAACTGTGGCTTTTCTCCACTGTTAGTAGAGAATAATTAGTTTTTTTTTTTTTTTTTTTTTTAAATGGATTAGTAATTTAGAGAATAAATAGTTGAATGTGTGGGGAATTAATATTCTAATGATGTCTTAATCTTTTTTTCTTCAGGAGAACTTCTGGCATGAGCTGTAATTTAAGGAAAGATATTAAATAGAGTTCAGTAATTAGCTTTTTCTCTCTTCTCAAGAGAGCAGCACTTCTCTTTTATCCTCTACTGGAGTTTAAGCAGAAGGACACTGAAAACAACCGTCTTAGACAACTTTGTCTGCCTCCTCTCAGGGCGATCCAGGAGTCGCTCTCCATCTCTCTGGCCAGCAGAGAGGGAGAAGACACGGCCGACCCCAGCCTGCCCCCCTCCATGTCCCCGCAGGACCCCGCCTCCAACTCGCCGCTCTCCTACAGCGCCGCCACCAACCCGAGGCTTTCCTCCGGCCCCTTCGGCGTGGCGTCCAGCTTCGACGAGCAGCTGCGGCTCGCCATGGAGCTGTCGTGCAGGGAGCAGGAGGAGAATGACAGGTGGGGGGCAGTGGGGGGGGGGCTGCCTGGCGGTCACCTCAGGCAAAACGTTCGTGTTGACAGATTGTGATCTGATCCTTCTGTGAGTGAGTGACGGATGTCTGCATGCATGGCAGTTGAGGAAGAGACGTATTTTGTGTTTACTCACTCGCACTACATCCTTAAACTTCACCAGAGCACCCAGTCCTTCATTCCTGCAGCTATTTGTTTGCTGTGCTGTTTATGTTCATTACTATCACTGGGGTGATGAAAATTCATCTCGTTAACAGTTTATTGCTGTTTAGAAACAATGTAACTGGCTAAATGAATTGCAAAGCATACAGAGGGCCATAGACAATTTACATCACAAGTATATTATATATAGAGTATATTGCATTAAGATGCATTATAAAGAAAAACTGTTCAACATTCGTCCACTAAGATGTAAGATGAAAACGATGACTTCTGACTACTTCTGTAAACATTTCTTTTTTTACTCCAAGCTGATAAATGATTGGTTAAACTGTAGTTTTTCCATGTCTGAGCTCTACAAACACACCTTCTTTGCTGCGTGTAGCTCCCATATTAGAGACGATAATGTGTCCAGTCAAACCTTTCCTGCATAAACACTGAAGACATTGAATCCACAAAAACTTTGAGTGGTGAAATCTGTTAAACCCAGTTCGTCTTTCTGTTCCAGGAAGCGTAAGGAGGAAGAGGAGGAGCTGGAGAGAATCCTGCAGCTGTCTCTCACGGAGAAGTGATGCTGCAGCTGGAGCTGGACGGGTCCACACTTAATTTATTCTGTTTTAATTTTTAAATCCCAAGACATTAATTTATTATTGCAGATATTTTTTTTTTGTTTTTGTCACATGAAGGCTGCTAACATGCACAGACTGAAAGGAATTGATGTAGGAAATGCGAAATGGGTTACTTTGAATAAAATACTGTACACTTAAGCGAAGGAGATGACAAAAAGGGAGATTTTTCTTTTTTTTATTGAATATTTTTCAGTCTTGCTGTTTTTGAGTGATGAATGATCCTTAAACTTAAATGATCCACTACACTGACAAAAAAAATACAGTAAAACATAATAGAATAAAAAAAAAACCTTCTAAGCATTTATGTTGGATCACTCCTAAGTGTGGAAAAATAAAAAAATAAAGATAATCTTGGATTATTATGCCTGTCTTCAACTTGCATTAAAATATTTTACATGTTTACATCTTCATTATGTTATTATTTTTTACATATGACATGGTTACAATAACATTAAAAAAAATAATTAGCCAAAACTGAAAGTTTACCAGCCTTCTAAACAGAAAATCTGCCGATGTTCACAATAAGATGGTTTTGGCAAATTGTCACATGTGAAAATGTCTTTTTGTTTCTCTCTAGCTCACTTTTTTGGTAGTGTCAACAGTGAGTTGTGAAACAAAATCGCATTTTATGTAAATGCATTTGGCAGAAATCACCAACAAATGAGGATATAACATAATACAGCTAATATCAAAGCTAACGGTAGTAGGCTACTGCTAGCAGGCTAGTAGCCAACTAACGGCAATGACCTACTAACAGTAGGCTAGGAAATATATATATAATATGGTGGAGGTAAGAGCACCAGGCAGGTTCTGTCAGATGTGATGGTGTAGAAAGAGAAAGTGTAGCGGAGGGGGAGATTCTCTCAGAAGAGTTGGGTTCGCTAGGATTTGTTGAAGTTGGGGTCGCCCGTGTTCTGGTCGCGGTTCGTAGCTCATTCCACCACCGTGGAACGACACAGAAGAGTCTGGATAGTCTTGAGCTCGGTGTAGGTACTGCTAGCCGACAATCCCTTTATGACATAAGGGAACCATTTCAGAAAATATTTTTTATCATAAAGCTACAAAAGTATGGAGGCCCGGTGGTGCAAAACACAATAAGTTGAACAATTTACATTTCCTTAAACCCTAGATTGAGATTTATTTTTAAGTAACTTTTTCGTTATTTCAGACTTCTACAGTTAGCTTGTCAGTTTTCTAGTCATTTTGACACAAGAAGCTTTTCTTAATGAAATGGCATCAAATCCAGACAAAGTACAACGAAGAAGTTGAATATTAACACATGCTTCTGAAATAAACATTTTCTTCCTCTGACTTGTGCAAAACCTTCTGATCACAATAAAACATAAATGCAGTCTTTCTCAGTTTTGTGTGAAGTTAAAGTTTCTATCAAAAAACCTCAGAAGCACCAAATTTATTTTTTTTTTTTTTAGCAAATATTGTTTCTCCTTCACTGGTTTTCTGACTGATCTGTGGATTGCAGGTGTAATTTAGAGATATCTATAGTGTTTGACCAAATTTCCCTAACTTGGGGAAAAAAACCATAATTAACTGAGAACTCATATTCTTGACTTTTGTGCACATTTAATATCCCCATAGGAAAAAAAATGGATTGTGGTGGCAGAACTCAGTAAAACATGTAATCTTTGAGCCACATATTAGGCAGAAAGTTAAAGTTCATGGCATGGGGACGTTGGTTGTCCACTGGACCTTTGATTTGAATTTTTCACCTTCTTCATTCTGGTAGGCAGAGTCTTCGTCGTTTCCACTTTCCACGTAGATGTTTCCTCTTCTCTTCTGCAAGACTGCCTGAAGCTCACCAGCTATCTGAGCTGATTAAGACCCAGAAAAGAGCGTTACTCATTGAGATCAATTTCATCGACTAACATGCATTCGGTTGAACTTTAGTTATGATGTAAAATAAACTCATCTTTTATAGAAGAAGCATAATTTCACACAGAACATTTCAGAAAAATTTTACCTCGCATTTGAGCAGATAATTTTCTATATTCAGAAATACAATCAGCAGTTGGACATATATTTTTTACCTATTTCCCAAGGTTGGAGTATGAATAAACTTTTTTTTTTTCTATCTGTGCAATCACATTGTTGCTTGTTTCTGTCCTATCGACTGTTTATCCAGTAGGTGTTCTACAGGGTTTGGTCTGGGGACAGATATGACCATGGAGGAATGTTTTGAATCACGTTAAAAAAAACCAATGAACACATATTTTCAGTTTTCTCAAAGTCCACCAGATTTTCTTTAAAGGTCTACTGATGCCACACCCCCTTACAAGAGAAACAGTCCCTCAGCATCATAGTTCCACCATCGTACTTGACCGTGGGCATGATGCTCCTGAATTTCTCGTCAAAGAAGCTGTATTGGTTTGTAGTTGAAAAGTTCTGTCTGGATGTTGTCTAGCAAAAAAAATACAGGTTCAATTAAAATCCCATTTTAGCAAACTCCCCATGTTTGGACAACTGGATGGACAGAGAAAGTCCAACCAGTTGCTATGCAGATATTGTCCAATGGTTGTTACGGCACACAATTCTCCAATAGTGACTTGTTTTATTTACCTCTAACTGTACTAATTCTTTAAATGGAATCATTTCCACCAATGAAAAAAAAAAGAATCTGTTTTAGATTTTGAACACATTTTTACTCAGGATCCAAATAAATTTGTTTGAGTGTGTATTTACCTTTCTTTTTCATATGATCGTCCATATCGGGATCTTCTGGTAACACATAATCTCCCTCGTCAGGCTTGGGAACGGGAGGAAGATGCTTGTCTTTGGCCTGGACTCGCTGCATGGGGGCCACCTGAGCTTTGGGGACTACAGGTGGAGGCTTGTTGACACATTTTGGTGGAGGATCCATTACTGTCAAGCAAAAGCAGACATTAATCTGTGTCAGCGTGAACTCACTCGCTTCTCAAAGGAGTGCTAATCCTCACCAATCCGAGTATCGTAGGGTTGAGCTACAATGTAGGGACGCAGGCGGTACTCTGTCTTCTCCAGGAAGTACTTAAGAACATCGTTCAGCGAGCGGACTGTCATCTGCAGAGTAAACATTACGGAAAGATTATTTATGAAATCTATGAATTTTATGTTTGTACAGGCGTACTTATCATGAAATGTCAGAAAAACATATTCCAGACTAAGATTCAACCGTCACAGAAAAGTAACTACATAAACATGGCTATTTTCCCCCCTCTGACCTCCTTGAAATAAATAAAAATAAATAAAACATGATTTAAAAAAAAAACAGCATATCGCAATCAACTATGAAACTGTTAACATTCATAACATAAACTCCTATGTAACACAGTAATCTGAATGTGCTCAGTCAGCTTTCATTTCCTTACATGGAACCAGATCTTCTTTTAATCTATTAATCAGGCCTTGATATGTTTATTTCAGTCACTTTGAAATTTCTCATTTCTGTTCAGTAGTCTTTGTTTAGTTGTTCCCCTCTGGCCCTTTTAATTTTCAGGCACACTGAACTCAAGAGATGAACCAGATATGAGTTTACACATGAGACAAGTCAAAAGAAGTCATTTTTTTCCCAGCATTATTAGATCATTTGTTAATTGGAGCCTGTGTCAAATATGCAATTTGTTTACATTTTGTCAGTTAAACATGCACAGAGCTTGAAAGACAGAATAGTTAGTTTTTTTTTTTTTAGCCCTATTTAGTTAAAACCTTCCTAAAGACACTTTTCACAATATGGCGCCATTACAATTTTTGATCTCATTTAGGAAAATCTAAAGAACAATTGGTCAACATCACAAGATTGGAAGCAAAATGAAAAGAAATGGGAGCTTATTATTATTAATAATATTATTATTGAAATGAATATGAATATGAAACCACTGAGCAATATTTGTGTTCCACAATTGAGACAGAAATATGAGGCAAAATTGTAGGAGAAACTGATTTGGCTTCTTCGTGTCGTCATGTCGACGCAGCTTTTGATGTCGGTTGATGTTTAGCTTCTGATGTAACCAACAAGGAAATCCTCAAGTCTTTTTTTTTTTTATTTAATTGGACGTGAATCATTTACAATGTTGCACAATTGATTAAAGCAAGTGGTGCGATTGTTCATTAAATATTATGACCACCTTATGACATCTGGCCTTTCATTCACAGCCTGAGTTACATAACAGCTAAATACCTTCTAACACGCATGAAACCGGCATATTACATGTGAGAAATCGCCAATGTCAGTTTTTTTTAGGCGCTTTAATTAAAATCCATCAAAAAAGTTTTTTTGACAAAACAACAGAATTATTTGCTGTCGTCATGTTTGATACTCTGCCTAAATTATTTCACACAATTAAGGCAGAATGTCTGAACACTTTTGACTCCATATGGATGGATGCTAAGGTTCAAAACTGCATTTTCCTTTAGCAAACAATAAATTCAATGAAACATTTATGTTTCATGTCACCGTTTTCTTTCAGATTGTCACTATGTTCAGGTTGTGGATTGTGAGGAGAGCTGTTCAACCGTAAAAACAAATACTTTAGACTTACTGGAGTCTCGAGTTCGATCACAAAGCCGGCGCTCGTGGAGGTCACCCTGTAGTTCTTCAGGACATGCTCTCTGCAACACAGTGGACATCAAGATAGTTACTCTGAATGCAGATTAACGTTGTTTCTATCATTTGTCTAACTGGCTGAAATGTTTGGTTTCCCTTCTTTGTCAAAGCAGGATTATAAAAATAAACTTTAACAGCCATCTGGTTTATTTCGAAGTTCTGCGGAGGGAATTGGAGCTGCTGAGTGAGATTAGGGTGAAGTTTGAGTAAACCTGTCTATCTTCTGTCTGAGCGTCAGGGCGTAGTTCTTGGGCATGGTGGACGGACGGAGGATGATGTCTCCATTTTCCGGGTTCTCACTGAGCAGCTTTTCAGCCTCCTGTCGGGTCACATCGAAGAAACAACTGCGGGGAGCAAAGAAAGCAAAAAGACACGATCAACATCTGCTATAAGTTTTGAAAGCAAATAATTTGTTTTTCTCAATAAAATATTTTAAAAAGCTGTGAATAGAGCTGAAATGTTAGAATTTCTTTTGTCTAAGTAGTTTAATTTTCTCTGGAGGTCATTGTGAAACAAACTCGTACATTTTTTATTGATTCTTAAGTTTTATGAGTTCTGGTATCTGAGTCTTACAGGAAGGAAGGCTGTGAGCAAGCAGGTATTTACGTAACTGAAGGTAAATCATATTCTCACTGCAAGAGTCTCGAGATGGAAACATGATGCTTATAGGACTGATTAGAACCAAGAAATGATGCAGGAGAGGAGACAGAGGCTAAAACTGCTTGAAATAACCTGTAGATATTATCAGACATTATTGTCCGGGATAGTTGTCTCATTGTTTCGAGATGCAGACAAACATAACGTGTTAGAAGCTCCTCAGTTTAACTCACGCAGGCATGTCAGGAGTATCTTTTGTCTGCAGGAAGCCCGGTCGGGGTGGAAGAGCAGGGCGCTCCAGCTGGGGGTTTCTTTTGTTTTCCAGAGTCAGCATCTCCTCCAGCTTAATTTTCTGACCAGGCAGCATCTGAATGTCCGAGGGAATCTCTTTCTGCAATAAAATACAGATTACTGTTTACACAACGTAGTTCACCATAAAATACAGGAGAGAAAATTGAATGCACACTTTACTTAAAATATTAACAGGAACTGAAACAGTAGATACAATATTTAGGAAGTTTTACATATTAAACCCACCACTTTCTCAATTTTGGAGGGATGTTTTCTTCTTCTTGGCACTTTGAGGCAAAGATTGAACCGGTAATATTCAAGTGCTATTTTCTTTTAATAACTGACTTGTGAGTCATTCTATGGAGATTTACAGTAATCTGAAGGACAAATATTCAACGTATGCTGCAGAAACACATTGTTTATTCAACATTTTATTACACACTGATCAACAAGAAAACCTGAAAGATGCACCATAGCTCAGCCGTAACTTTACAAACCAGCCACAACTAATGTATTTTTTCTACAAGCAGAGATGTTGAAAATGCTTTGCAAGCTGTGATCCCATGGCATGCAGGAGGACGATAGAAAAATAACATCTTTTATAACATTTCCATCAATTCTTTCTGCTAAGGTAAAAGTTAGCACTAGCTTAGTTCTAAATTTTACCACAAGGAAGCAATTTTTACAGATAAATATTGTATTAATACTTTTCATTGTTTTTGACCATATTTAATTTTATATTAATTCACTCTGAATTTAATTAGAAAAACCCACTAAAATTTAAAATCTCATTTAGAAATGTGCAATGTTCAAGATGACAGCAGCTCATATTTTATTGCTCATATGTGTAGCTAATGTTTCAAAGTTGAGTAGTTGCCATCTCTAGCTGACTGTCTACATGCAGTTGCTTCCTTTAAAATTAGATGATGGAGTTCAGGAAGACAAATGAATTTAATTCTATCTAATGACACAGAGTACTTGACCTACTTTGAAAAAGTAATTTTCCTATGAATACTAAATAAAACAGGAGTTTTCAAGCTTGCGAGCCTCGTGTTCATCCTGAGTTTGTTTCTGTTTTTCAGATTTTTGACTTACATTAACCAGAGTCATAATGAAGCCTCTCCATTCCTCTCCCATGTCAGCATTATCCATCTGCAGAGGCAGAGAAAACAGCACAAGTGTTGGTAAGATGAGACCAATTGCTTTTCTTCAACAAATACCACACGTGAGCTTTATGTGAAATAAATAATACATATATGGAAAGCACCTCAAGCCCACTGCTACGTATGGTGGAAGATCTGTGATGAGGTGAGCCCGTTTCTCTAAACTCATTGAAATTGCATTTCAGCCCCTCAGTGCTAAATCCTAGTTAAACTTTATAGTACCTAAATCAGTGTGTATTCAAATTAACCAGCTGCTAAAACTAAGTGAATGACATTTTTGTGATAAATGCTGAGTCGGTTTGAAGTTTTACAAACCTTTAGCTGCACCTCCTCCAGGGGCAAGCTTAGGGTGAAAATGGTTGGCACTTTTTTTTTATAAGGAGACTCCATGTCCATGGACTTTATCAGCCCCAGGTCCAGCCTTTCTGAATACTGTTGAACAAACAGAAAGTCCCTTGGCGGTTTAATAGATGAAATATCAACAGCCTTGTACTTCCTTATTGCCCCTCTGATGAGTTTCTTTGGACTCAGATTTTGGGGTCTTGCACATGAAAAATACTTTCAATTAAATTTGACCGCGTTATTTTATGAAAGACAAACTTTTGACTGTGTCCTTACTGTGTCTTGTGTATCACTTTTGTACAGAAACAGTGTTGTTCCTCTGAGCTCTCCGTAGAAGTTCCTGAAATCCTGAAAGTCATAAATGTCCTTTGAGTTGCTGCTGTGGATGAAACGTTAACCTTTACACAGAACTGCAATCCAATAAACTCACCCTCGTCTTTATGGTCGACTAAAGTGCAATTAATTTTCTTTAATCTCCGGTAAAGTAATCGAGATTGTTAATTTACTTATTTATGAAAACAGTACAGTTTTAAGCGAGTTTTTTTTTTAGACTCATCATTCAAAGAATGTTCATCTATCAGTAGGAATCGATCTTCTTCATAAATTATTAGTTTAAAATAGCCTCCCACAAAATAAAGCAATCTCAGTTTGACCTTGGCAACAAGATCAGGTTTCTAAAAAAAAAAGGTTACAAAGAGAATCAGCCAAAAAAATATTGTCATGAATAATACCTCTTTCATTGACAGTTTCTGTGTTTAAATCTCCAGTTTCAAACTTCTACTAAATTGCAGTGTAGGTTATGTTACCTTCTCTTTGAGGTTTTTCTTCAGCAGGTTTCCACAGTGGTACAGAGGCAACGCTGTGATCGTCTCCCTCCTCCTGTGGACAGCTCTCGGGTGCGGCCTGCCCTCCATCAGATCTCCGAGTTTCTTCTCCTTGCTTAGTTCGCCTCAACGCTCGTGAGCCTTTGAGCTGAGAACTGAGCTCGTCTGTGTTTTTGTGCGAGCTGAGATGCACTGATTTACTGCCTGAGATTGTCACTGCTCTATAACTCCACTATCATAAGTTTTCTCGCGCAGCCTCAGAGCTGCTCTGGCTCTGAACTGGGAAATGCCACACTGATTTATGAAGAAGGAAGTAGTTAGTTGAAAAAATAAAAAATAAAAAAATAAAAGCCAAAGAATTATCAGTATTTGTACTTTGGCCCTGCATAACTCATGATAATTTGCTTTTCATTCTCATGTGCAGTAAAGTGTGTTGGCGTTAGTTCACGCACAAACACAAAGGCTTTTTTCAAGGCAAAACTCTAAAAATGTAGGACGGATTAATCATTAGCGATAAAAGTAAGTAGATAAACAGCTCAACTTTTAGTCTCAGTTTAGACTCCTTTTCGCACAAGAAAGCTCAGACTGTAATACCTGAATCCTATAAGGTGAGACTTTGTAATGCAAAGAAAAACAGCTCTGAATTTATGCCAATTAAAATCTCCTGCACTGGGTTTAAGTATCCTGGATTTATTGCAGCCAATGCTCAAGAGTGACAACTACAGCAGTAACATATCAGATAAAAAGCATTGTAAAGTCCACAAGATGGGTTAGGTAAACAGCTGCATTCTACTGTGCACGTGAAAATAAAATGTTACACTGTGTTTCAAAATATTGTTATTGTTGTTTTTGTTTTTAATGATTCTCTGAATGGATTAGATTTATATTGATAAATGTTGCCCATGTCTCCTCTAAGGATGTTAATCTTTTTACATTATTTTCTAATTCTAGGTTTTAATGTCTCACGGGCTGCACTGAAAAAAAATGTTTCTTTGAACCTACTTTAAAAAAAATAATAATTTGTTACAGTTAATCTTATTGGTTTTGCTCAAACTGTAATTCGGATTTAATTTATAGCTTGAGAAAAACTAATACAATTAGCTGTAACAAATTAGAGTATTTTTTTTTTAAAGTTGGCTCAATGAAACGTTTATTTCAGCGTGTGGTGTTGCAGTTTCAAGCTACTCCAAAGTCACTTGATAGAGCATAAACAGCTTTTTACTGCTCAGGTCATAATGAAGCATGTCTCCCGCTAGATAATGCATTTCAGTGTCATATAAAAATCCAAAGTAAATCAACTCCTGATGTAGATAAAGTGTCTTTAAACCATCATACCTGATTTGTTTCAAGCAGCCAACACGTTCTGCAGCCCCACTTTTTCGTACAATCTGTTTGCAGAGCAGAGGAAAACATAAAATAAATCTAAAGGTTGCTTTGTCTTGTTTAGTTTTGGTCCAGGAAGCACTGAGTGAAGAGGCCTCTGATGTCCTGAGGGATCCACGTGATTCATATCTGAAACCCCAACACCATTCAGTGCCTTATACATTAAATATAACATTTACATTTCTGATTTAGTTGGAAAAAATATAGCCAGTGCAGCAATTTAAAAAAAATTGTGTGACATGAGAATTTATTTCTGATGTTCAGGGCGCTGATGGCTGCATATCAGATGAGCAGGCAGAGACTGGTGTAACTTACAGAAACTATAGGATCACAGGAGTCTTTTGCATCATATTCATACGGAGAACTCTAATTCTGGAAATGTTATCAGAATGGTAGCCAGGTAGTAGACTCATTTCAGTTTAAATCCATGACAACACCTACGTTTCGTGGTCTATGAACTTTAGTATTTCTAAAGTCTAGTAGAGAGTTGATTTCTAACCTGGGAATATTTTTTAGACCAAAAACAATGACTTCTATGTTTTCTGCCATTAGCTAAAGAAAATTCAGATTAACTCATATTATGGATTCTGCCTGTTATTGCAAGGAACTGTGGTCATGTGGTGACAAAAAAAATGTGTGTAGTCAGCTCACACAGAGTATGAGATGTTGTAATAGAAGATCTTTTAGGCTGGTGAAGTAGATGTCAACTTAAAGTGGCCTGAGGATGGATCCACACTGTGGAACCCCACAATGTGATCTGGGTTCGCTCAGGAATAATGGTGTCAACAAACAACACTGCATCAGGTAAAAACAGTTTGATTGCAGTGTAGTGGTGGGATTTAAAGTTTTGGTTCTTTTCTTAATAGTAAACACAATCAGAGGCACAAAAAAGCCTTATTTCATATGTGAAATAAACCTTTCATTTTGTTTCCCCACAATAAATTCAGCAGAAACACCATGAGAAGTGGGTGTATTGATTAACAGCAGCAGCAGGATTTAAACCTCAGCTTCTTGGTGTCACTGTTGTCAAGACGGGGAAATATGAGGCTCGATCTAAGTTTAACCTGAGGTGAAAGTGCTTAATGATTAACTGATGTTAAATACCAGGTTAAATGTCTGAATGACTCAGGGTGACATCTAACCAATAAAAATGTGTCTCAGCTGAAGAATTTGTGTTGGCAGAGCAAATATTTTTAACATCTGTAATATTGTGCTTTAAAGTAAATAAAAAACATTTGCCTTCACTTTACAGGAGCTGTTTGGACCAAAAAACAACAACAACAACAACAAAAATCCTGGATTTATTACTTAAATGTAACTAACAGGCTCAGCTTGTCCCACAAAGTAATTTATTAGTGTAGTATAAACATGGTCTTGTTTTGTACTGTTATTTGTTTATTAACTGAGATATAAGCAAGAAACCCGTGGCACAGAGAATGATGATGCAAACACTGCCCTCTAGAGACTAAGTATGGACATAGCAGGACAAAAAGTCTAGTCGTCCAGGTTTTTTCTTCTTTCTTTTCCTTCTTCTGGTAGGGCTGTTAGTATTTAGGGTTGGCCCCCATTTTATGCCCTCTAAGCCGAAGACATCTTTACGTTTCTTAAAAAGAGAATGTTTTCTTCCATTTTGCAATTTCCTTACCTGCAAGTTATTTCTTGACTGAGTCAAGGATGCCTACAAGACATCAATTAAATACCTTAAGCTGATGTAGACAGATGCAGGTGGAGAGATATCACATGTCTCCGATTTTTGCTTCTCTTTACTGACTCCCTGTTGAATCAAAAACGGAAGAAACACAAGGTTCTGGAAAATGAAGCTCCACTAAAAAGGATAGTTCCGTATGTTTTCACTGTCAGACTACAGGTCTGCTGGTGGCTCTTTAAGATGCTAGAAATAAAACTAATGTCGTTTTTGACCTGGAGACATCATGTCAACTTTTAAAAGCTTTCTATTTTGTCAAAACCTAGAGTGGCTTCATTCTGAATAGCTGTGCTGAAACACACTTAGGGTCTTCATAGACCACTTTCCCACCAAATGTACTATTTTTTTTTCTATTTTCTGATTTTCTAATATGATCAATTAGGGGAAAAAATCTATGTATATAAAATAGTTTATCTATATATTATGAGAATGTCCTTTTGTTAGAATTACTGTAATGCAACATAACAGAGACAAAGTCAATGGGACATTTTTGAGAAATGTTAAGGTAAAAAGCGAATAGGCAGCTTATTCATTGCTCAGTCACAACTCAACACAAATGCATTGCAGAAACAAAGAATCAATCTGAAATTCTGTCAGTATCTGCTTCATAAATGAATTTGATTATTGGTCGGTGTATGCCTTCACACAAAAACGCTCTGAGCTGCTCTGATGTTTTTTCACCCTGCTGGTCCCTTCAGCAGCTCTCATCTTCCTAGATTCCTCATCCATGAGAGCAGGCAAGGGAATTGGACACAAAGGACAGAAAGCAGCCAGTGTTGTCCATCATGGGGCCTCTAATGATGTTGCTTTACAGCCACTGACTGAGCAGAAAATGACCGCAGGGACAGGCCACAACACTCTGAACTGATCACAGCAACCTTGCTGTTCCTATCCTCCAAATTATGTAAACAAATAACAACATAAGAGGAGGGTGGTTTTAGTTTTATTTTAATATGCTTTCTCTGATTGTAGACATGATGAATTCTGTCCTTCGGTGAAATGAAGACCGAAGGCGAAAGATCCGCCGGCCGTCACGTCAGATCAGTGCAGACTAACCTAGCGGATCTGAATCATGGTCAGGTGGCGGCTGATGGCGAAATGGCGAGCTGAGGTCAGACCTGCTCCAGAGACAGAGCTGGGTGTGGTGCCCACCGCAGGACTCGTCCGCTCCTGGAAAACAGAACAGCTTCAGCGTATAGGTTTGCTTTTATCTCCATTTCCACCTCCATTTGTTCTAATTAGAAGAATGAAAAACAGCCCACATGGATGGCTGTATTCGTATAGATAACTATGCTTATTTGTCTCCGAAGCCGCCTGTTCTAATTCTCCCTGTGATGGAAAGGGAGGCAGGGAGGAGAATGGAGACCTGGGGAGACGAAGTGGACCTCCTGCTGCTTGCAGTGTCTCCGTCTGACTTATATTAACATAAAGCACAAAGTCTTACGCATCCGTCTCCTGTGTGGTCTCCATTTAAAAGCCATTTTAACAAATGCTGTGCGTATTCGTAGCTTATTCAAATGTTTATTCTTATTAAGTGCTTATTTTCTACTTTGTGACCTTTTTCTCTAACAATTTCAATTAAAAACTTAAATTGCGTTTAAACATTTTGAATGACTTTGATGCGTGGACAGAAAAATAATATAGACTGCAGTGTATTCATTTCCTGCCTGAATGGAAATGAATGGAAATTTTGGGTGATAATGAAAAATATCACCCAAAATTGTGAAAACTGTTTTTCTCCCAGTAGTTACACATTTAGAGTGATTGCCATATAAGTGAACTGTTTCTACAAAGATTATGTGAAAAGCAGAAAAGCAACAGTTCATAGAATCAAAAGATGTAAATTACTGTTTAGGATAAATTAACCTTAACCAAGAAAAAGCTTTGTACTTTCTTTTTTTGTCCATCTCTATTTTTTGAAAAGACATTAATTTAGTATAAAAATAGATTTCTTATGAAAGATACCCTAATTAGACAAGCTTATCTGATTATACGGACATAACATTGTATGCACAAATAATTTAATAAAATAATTTAAAACATGACAGGTTTATTTGGACAAAATGAACACACCACAACTATTATCACACCTCACACTTGTAAAAACAACAACAACAAAAAAACACCAAGTATTTTACTAACAAAAAACCCCCAATCTTTCATCTATTGGATTGCTTGAAATTAATAGGTATGTGAAATACCAGTTGTCATGCACATAAACCACTTATTTTTTGTCCTTTATATGTGATAAATATTATAGGCATGCAAAGAAATCTAAGAAATATTAATTTTAAAGGATAAAATTAAAGATTACAGAATGTCCTTGTTAAAACCCACGTTTGCCAAAACAAAGATCATTTCACAACAAAAATGATGTTGAATCTTTGAGTGATATTTAAATAGTTTAACAAAAATGACATTTAGTTTAACAAAAATGTCAGTTTCACTTAAATTTGCTCATTGTATTACGGACACATGCTGTTTGAACATATAATGATTCTCACCTTCGTTTTGTTTATTGAATTTTCTGAGTCCCACAATCCCTCCTATTGAAAACCTGGACTCAGAGGGACAGTCTGTCCCCATGGAAACAGATGATGCTGCCAATACAGAGGCGCAAACATCACTGAGAGGAAGACTGGGCATATAGAAGGATAACAGAGAAACACTCACCATCTTCACAAGGCTTCGCCTGAACTTTCCTCCTGATGATCCTGCAAACACCAAAACAATCAACACTTGTTTTCCAGATCTTTGCTGTCAAGCAGAAACACTGAAACACACCTGGACACCCTTACCTGTTGATTGAGCTGATGCTGGGAACGTTGCTTGGGTCACACACTTGCTCCAGCACCAGCCTGTCCCGGATCTCCCAGGCAAACATCGTGGGACTGTTGTGTTTCAGCTGCAGGATCTTCTGCACCACTGTGGGGGTCGCCACCTTGGGTTTGGAGCCACCTATCAGCCCTGGTCTGATGCTTCCTGTCTCGTTGTACCTGGCATGTTTGGCAAGGAAAGGTTGACACTTACACACACAAGGATAAACAGGCGACCCGTTGGCTGCCAACTTTTACTTTGTGTAGTTTCCATTTTCATTAAATTAACATTATCAATCAAACCCTACATGCCACAACATTTGGTTGTGAATATCAAGGTTTTTTTTGTTGTGTTAAGTTTAATCAAACGACTACTCTTTTTTTCTATGCCAAATTAAAAATCGTGGAAAGCAATTATGACAAAAAACTACAATCCTTTTATTAAGCTTCTAATAATTGTTATTTTGCTTGTGCATTGTATGCAGCGAGTTTCAAGATTTTTGGTTTTGGTCAAACGCCCTGATTAAAATAGACAGACCGAAAGTCATCGTTAATGCTTTTAACGATGACTCGATAAAAGCATTAAAAGAATCCATGAGCTTTCAAACATTTGTTTTTGAAAGATTTTATGATGTCATAACTTCCTGATTCCATATGACTGAACCCATTTTAAACTGCAGCTACCTGGTCAATATTTTGCTGACGCAGCCATGACTGACGCGCAGACGGCGCGAGATCTCACAGGGGCGCACCCCGTGCTGCGCGAGCTCCACGATCCGGTGTCTGACCTCGTGCGGTAACGGCCGCCCGTTGATGAAGACTCCGCCGAGCTGGTTTACCCCGCCGAACCCTGAGTGTCGGAGCAGAACGAGAAGACCCAGTTCCAGGACTTCAGACAGCCTCTGTGGAAAGGATGCGAGGTTCCGATACTTACTGTGCGCAACTGTGAACGGAACCAGTCCAAAACTTACTTCCATCACAGACACGTCAAAGAACCACGACCAGCTAAACTTGTCGTGGTTCCACCTCCAAGGTTTAGATAAGACACAGAAACTTGAGCAAAACAAAAAATTACATCCTAGATCCAGCTCTGTATACAAAGTTTGGCGATGGACCTTCAAACAAACGGAGAAATTGAAAATAAAGTATAGACTTAAAACTTTAAATGCAGACTACCTCTCTACTATAGTTTCAGCACCTGATCAGTGAACAGCAGTGAAAGCCTCTGAGCGCACGGGCGGGGCTGAGGCGCTTATGGTTTCGTCGAGCGCAATTATACGCAAAGAAGGGAGCAGACAGGACAAATTGTAATAACTGTTGAGCATTTCTCTTTAGCCCGAACGGTCGTTTCAAAAAGTATGTCTGGATTTTAAAAGAAACTTCTAAATGTTCAACTTGATATTGTCGACGTCGTTCAATTTTTCCTTTTTTAAATATTATAAAGATTTAACCCAGTGAGCTCTTTCAGCAATGCTTAGAGAAAGAATTGCGATGTAATCTATCTATTATTATGCATCAGTTTGAACAAAAAGGGGGATTTTAAAGAATGAAAGAATATTAAGCTTTAAGAACATAATTTTATTCCTTATCTCTTTAATTTCAAAGAACTAGATTTTCTTGATCTTTTAATTCATCGTTAGTAATTCAGGCTTTCTAAAGATTTTATTTCTTTTGACTTTGAGTGCTTGCCAGCAGGCCTAGGTGGGCCCCATGTGGAGAAAAGGAGGGCAGGCCATATGGGTCCCATATGGGTTTGTCCGCGGGTTCCACGATGGCCCCACATGGGTTTGCCCATGTAGGGCCAGAGCCCACATGGGCCCTATATGGTGGTGGCCCACATGGGATTGTCCATTTAGGGCCCATGCAGGGCCCATGTGGGCTGTGGCCCTACATGGGCAAACCCATGTGGGGCCATCGTGGAACCCGCGGACAAACCCATATGGGACCCATATAGGACCCATATATCAGCCCTCCTTTCCCTCACATGGGGCCCACCTAGGCATGCTGGCTGCAGTCTTTGTACCTGGCTAGTATAGATTTCTTGACTGAAAAAATTAAAATAAAAACTTTTTGACCTATGTAAAAACAGCAGAAATGTGACAGAAAATAACATGATATCCACATTATCCAAACATAGCTGTGGACGCATCATACTCTGAGGATGCTTGTTATCAGCAAGGGCAGGTCAGAGTTGTATGTACAGGTATACAGCCCAATCCTACAAAAATAAATGTTAGTGACTTCAAGAGAGAAGAGACTGGGACTGACATTCATAGTCAGGAGAATTAAATGATCCATCTTGATACATATTGATGTGTTAAAATGGACTAGTCAAAGTCCACACATAAGTCCATTTGAGAACGTGTGGCATTAGTCATAAAAAGCGTGGATACCCTTTTCCTTCACTTTAGAGTTACTTGTCACTGTGTTTTGCTCTATCATCAAAATTATAAATAAAATACATTAGGTTTCTGCTGTAATATCACAAGAAAGAAAAAAGACAAAGAAAAAAAAATCCAAAAGTGTTATGAATATTTTTTATATTTAAAATAGAACACAATAACTAATTTCATAAAACCCGCAGGACTGTAAAATATAATTTCCTCAATAAATTTTAAAATTATTCTAATGTCTACACAGTAGACATTAGAAGTACACAATAAGTTGGTTTACAATAGGGGTCAACAATCTTTATGATTCAAAAAGCTATTTTCCTTCAGTCCAGCCAAGTAAAACTCATATATAGTTGAAAAATGTACATGTGTTAATAAAGACAATTTGGATTTGATAAGTATGTTACAGGTAATTTTTAAAAGACTTTTGTTTTATTTTTGTTGCCAGATTTCAAATTAAAGAAATAATAAACAACTTTTGCAAAAAAAGAAAAAAGTAGATACATACATTTCTTCTATAGGATGTTGATATTTGTGGAAAACGATGCATATTTTACTATTTGTTGTGAAGATTCAATGCAATTATTGCATCAAAAAACCTGAAAAGCTGCTAAAACCAGAATTTAATTTAATTTTATTATGTCTATTTTTAAAAACAGACAGTCAAAGTTACTAGGGAAGCAGTACGTAGGGTTCAAAGAGCCGCAGGTTGCAGACCTTTCTGGCTCCGATAAGATGTAATGTAATTTCTCCATTAATTCATTTCCCCGGAAAAGAAAAGTGACGTAACTCCGGGTTTATTTTTGGCTGTCCAACTTTTTCCGGAAACGCCGGTTAAGTAATTCAAATCATAACCACATGTACACAAACCTGCTTAGTGGGAACTACATTTGTCTCTGCTTTGTGGAAGAAATGCGTTTTGAGTTGACAGAGGTAATCGCTACCGAGATGCAGATGAAATAAATTAGTGTACTACACAAAAGCGCCTTTGTTTTGACATCGTATTAGCCGTGTTTGTAATGTAGCTTTCTTGCTAGGTGCTAGTGTACCTAGAAACGCGCTTTGCCTTAGCGCGTTTCCGATATGTTAGAAACATTTACAGAACATCCTTTAAAGTATTTGAAAAACAAAACAAGTGTTAAAACAACTTGATCCAATGTAATTTCTGGTGGGGTAAGAATTGAGAAGTAGTAGTGTAACATGCGTTATTGTCCCGCGCTGCTTAGATGCAATACACGATTTCACCATTGAGCGGCGCTGCGTAACCTACCTAAGATTGTACTATGAACTCTGTCAATGAAAATGAAGTATCGGATGGTAAAGGAAATATCAAAGACCACCTTTTCTTCATTGAGGACTCCATCACTTCAGAGAGTGGAGAAGAGACGTGTTCTGGTTACATGAAACATGAGAAAAGAGCCAAGCTGTTTTCACAGCTCAGCAGAGACAGCTCTCCTCCGCTGCTCCTTGCTTTCTCCATCACCTCTGGAAAGACTCAGCAGGACACCAGCAGTGTCTCCAGTGCTGGTTCACAGGAGCAGCTGGAAGAGGACAGCGATCAGCCTATTGAGGAGTGGATGATCCTGGATGGAGAGGAGCAGGCGGAAGACCCAAGCATCCAGCTCAACCTCGGCTGCTGGGAGAGCTCTGAGCAGGATGTTGAAGATGAAGGTTAGAGATCATCTTTGCCAGCATTATTTATCTTACTTTTAATCGCAGTAGATGAAGTGCAAACATATTTTTGTCTGATATTAATAATCATAAAAAAGACATCAAATTTAGCTAAATGGATTACATAGTTCCCCTTATGAATATGCTTTAATAAAATCTAATGATTTCTGAGATCTAGATCCATTTCTTCATATCTGAATCAAATGGCTGAATTACTTAACTCATAACAACTATTCATTTACTTCAGGTGTGATCTAAGCCATTTCTCTGTAGTCCAGGGTGTGAGTTTGGGTTGTTGTTATGCTGAAGAGGAAACTGCTGCAGCCTCTGTCAGGTTTTCTTATAGGATTGCAGATTTGTGGAGGGCACAAATTATTTCCCCTTTTAGCCAATACTCTCACCTGAGCTATGGAGCTCTGCAGCTCTTCCAGAGTAACTATGGGCTCTTTGTGTGCTTCTCTCATTAATGCTCGTCTTATCAAAGTAGCTCGTAACTGTAGTTTTACAAAATCAATGTAGTTGGGTATTAAAGACTTGAATTTTGTAATTAATTCTTTACATTCAATAAAAACTCAGGCATCTTTTTATATTTGGTATTTTCTGCCATCTACTGTTTATGTGAAGGCAATATTATAGAGTTACACAAAATCTTGGGCCCCAAAAAGGACAGCAGTATTTGGATGTTTAATCCAGTAAAGATTTACTAGACTACTGATGCTGATACAGCATCAAATACACTTAATCACTTATTGCCAGTTGTGTCCCTATTGCAGAATTCACCAGCGTTATTGCATATTTTCCTCGTATTGTGCAACCCTAGTGGCCCCTCCACTAACAGGTAACGCAAGCATTTTGTGGTCATTCTCTCCATCAAGGTATGACAGACAAGGAAGTGAAATCAGGAGGGGATTCCTGGGCTGTCTCAGACAAAGACAAGGTGATCTTTATTATCTAGATTTCAAACACTAAGCTTGTTGATTCAGAAAATATTCAGTGAAAACATGTTGTAGGAACTCAGAAATAGTTATTTGCTGTACTCAATTTGGATCTTCCAATATGTCCAGTATGGAGGCACTCGGTCTCTGGGCAGTCGCTATTTCATGGCTGGTCGCTCATCCATCTGTAACATCTGCAACAGGATGGGACACGTCGCCAGAAGTTGCTACTTTCACAAGGTACAGCTAAAGTCACCTGTGTTTGTTGACAACATCATGTCATCAATCAAAAATGGATAAAAAAAAAAAAAATCTTGTTCTCCTCAGCAGAAAAGTCCCACTTGTGTCCTTTGTGGCGTCCAGGGCCACGTCCAAAGAGACTGCCCGAGCCGGCCCTGTTCCACTTGTGGGCTGCCTTCGCATGCCCTCAATCCCTGCAGAGTGCCTCCAGTGTGGAAGCAGCACTGCCAGCGCTGCGGCGTGACCGGCCACATGTTTGATGTGAGTTCATCTATCAACTCTCATTAGAAATTCCCTGGATTGTTTTGATTAAAGTGTGCTTAGTGTTGAAGAAATTCTTGAAACTTAATTCTATAATCTTGTGAGGATCTCTGCATTTTAGCCCAATTTTTATAAAGTGTTGCTCTGTTTCTGCATTTCCTCTTCTGTGAAACTACCGTGTTTATCTGGATGTTGCTCAGAGGGAAATTCTTATTCTTTGTTTGTTGTGGGGTTTTTTTCAGGCCTGCCCAGATACATGGCGACAATACCACCTGACTGTAAGAGGAAGTTTTATTTTATTCCTAATTAATCTGCAGCATTGCACAACTACAATATCAAGACATGGCAGTCCACCTAGACATGCAGGCTGGACAAGGAGATAATTAGTCATAGAGGCAGCCAGGAATCCGGTGGTAACTCTGGAGGAGCTGCAGAGGTCCAAAGCTCAGGGAGTAGAATCTGCCTGCAGAACTACTATTAGCTGTGCACTCCACAAATATGGCCTCAGTGGAAGAGAGGCAAGAAGAAAGCCATCAGAAGTTCAGCTTACAGTTTGTCATTAGCCATGTTAGAGACAAAGACTATTTCCTGGTCAGATATGATCAAAATACAACTTCCATGCAAATCCTTGTGCGAACACACCAACCCCACGGTCAGTCATAATAGTGGAACAATCTTGCAACAGGAGGAGAAAAACTGGTTGGCGTTTATTGAGAGATGATTACAGCTGTTTAAAGGATATATTCTGATTGGTTTATTTGTCACATGCAGGGTCAATACAAGTCAACAATAAAATGAAATTATGTGAATGAGAACAATCGTTCAACTCGCCATCAAATCAAGAAATACTCACATGCAGTAGAAGTAAAGTAAGAAGTTTGCAAGAGTGACCTTCTTAAAATTCATAACTAAGTCCAAAATCAGTGTTTGCAGACACTTTCCATTCAGCTTTGCAAGCAAGACTGGGTCAAATTTTCTGTCTCCATAGGTAGACGTATCCTTAAAGACTTGCAGCTGCAGCTCTGCTACAGGTGGCTCTACAAAATGTCGACTCAAGAAGCATGCCTCACTTTTCACTTTTTCAAGAGAAACTTGAAAATCATAAAACATTTTTCCTTCACTTTATAGTTATTTACTACTTTACGTTGACTAAGCACAAAAACTCACAATAAAGTTTGTGTTTATAGTGTGATAAACTACGGAAAAGTACATGTGGTCTCAATACTTTACATGTCAGTAACAGAGGTGACGATAAAGGCAGAAGAAAAACTGAGGAAAATATGTTTTTTTAATGTACTCTGTGGCAATTGAAGTATGGATTTGTCAATGCATTTTAATCTACGGCCAAGCAAAACATAAAAGGTCAATTTCATTTTTTTCTAGGTCAAGTTAGGGGTTCCTTTCAGACCCAGAAACGCCTGCAGCCTCAAACATAAGAGCCACCATGCTCATTGCTACAACTGCTCAAAAAGGGGACATTATGGTCATGTAAGTAGATGACTTTCATCATCTCAGGATGCTCTGTTCCTATATTTTGTCCTTTTTCTCTCACTCATTTGGATGGTTGTCTTTCTTGACATCAGGAATGCACAAAGAGGAGGATGATCAGTGGCACTTTTCCCTCACTGCCTTACGTTTGTTATTATGACACTCTGGATGACATTCTGCAGCAGAACGCCCCGACGCTCACACCAGCCAAAGGTGATTAAAAGTTGCTTTTAAATAATTATTGCAAAAAATATCTACATTTAGAACAAAGTCTTTCAGCTGCCATAATTGTACAAAAGGTTTTTAAACTTGTGAAATTTGACATGTGCTTTCAGACCTTGCGAGTGCTGGACCCCCGACTTCTTCACAGCAGGAATGTTGCAAAGATACGCCATTGATGCAGGGAAGAAGCAGGACAAAGCTGGAGCCTGGCGCTCATCCTGGGAGGAGGAAGACCTGGCCTGAAAGGCGCAGAGAGAGGCGTGAAGTGAAGCGACTGAGGAGGGAAGCCCAGGCTAAGCGGGAAGGAGGATTTCTGGGGAGGCATTTTTGCACCATTGATGGTGCAGTTTGCCCCGCTGACCCCTATAGACCCATGCTGCGCAGTCATGGAGAGTACAAAACCTCTCAGGAGAACAAAAAGAGAGAGGAGAAAGCTGGAAAGAAGAGCAGGAAGAGCAGAGAGACAGAGAAGTGGAGAAAAAGAAGGGGGATAAAACGCGGGGATTTGTATCCACACGGTGACATTGACATTGGAAGTGAAAACCTTCTGTCTCCAAAGCAGAGAGTACATCACCGAAGGAGATGATAAGTGATGTGAAATTTTGCCCATTCAGTGGCATTAAATGTTCTGCTCAGTTTATTTATAATATGTATTTAATAACGCATAAAATACATTAATGAAAAATTAATTGAATCAAGTGTGGAAGTAGCTTAAGCCTTTTTTCAGTTTTGTGAAAGTTTATACTCATGTTTTTAAATTTTTAAAGAACAATTAATGTTATAAATATTAAAGCCTTGCATATGGATTCAATTCATGTGAAGAGTCTCTTTATGTTTATTATACATTACATTTTTTTCTGATTTGCTATGGTTGTTTTCTTCCTTTTCATTTCTACTATACAGAAAGAGTGAACCTTTGACCTGAAATATAGTTTAATTTTGTTTAAACTGAGGTTGCATGATTTCAACCTCAGTTTAAAACCAAATTGTCATTTGGTTTTAAAACCTTGACAATTTTAAAATATCTACCATCTACTATAGAAACCAGCCTTTAATCGGGCTGCATTGAGGATTTAAGGTGGATTTTTGATACTTTAATTGCTATTAGGATATGATTCCAAAGTTTTAATTAGCGTTTTTACTACTTGCACATGGATATGTATTCTCAAAATACACTTAATTTTTGTTTTTCTGTAAGGTACATTTTTCAATATGGTGTAGTTCTTTGCATTTATAATATTCAATACAATAATATATCAAAGTGTGGATTGCTTTAAAGAAAAGAAAAAAGAACTAGTTGAATGAATCTATTAGTTTCACTGCCAAACTCCTGGCTATGATCATATTGGCTGGGCAAAATTTGTTTGAAAACATTTTATATCATTTTTAATAAAAAATATTTTGCTGACTGGGTTACGTGTCGCAATGTGGATACAGTAAACTACTTTTGGGTGATTCCAATAATGTTTTTTTTTATATTTAATAGTAAATTTAAATGCTGAGTAGCAAAAAAAATGAGTTTGAAAAATGTCCTTTTGTTGCCTGTGACATTTAAACCGTAAACACCGTATTTGTGAGTGTAAGCTAATGTTGAGGCTGCAAGAAAGTATAATATTTAGGCCAATAAATAAAAGTGGTTAGCTTTATTAATATGAAGCTTGCATTTGTTTATGCCGAACGAATAAAAGCCGTGTGGAGCCAGTGGGTTTTTTCAAAGCCTCGTCTCATAGTAGTTCTGCTGTGAAGCTGCTGAATTATTAATGAGCAGAGCAGCTGCCTGAGGTTTTTCAGACAAAAGTAGTCGACTCTGATAAAAACAGCCCCATTCAAAATAGCACACGAAGGATTCTATATGCGAAAAAATGTAGAATCATGTATATTTAAGAAATTAATCTCTTATTCTTCCTCTCCATTCAGTATAGTTTGAAATGTACCACAAATGTCTGTGCTGACGAGCTCCATGAGTCTCTGTTATGGATTGATCGCGACTTGACAGAGATGCGAGGCTCCCATTGATTGATCTCCACTCCACTCCCCGCTGACCAGAGAAAACACCCGATAGCGAATGCGAGAGGGGATTTAAATTAGACAAAAACCGTCCGCTTTAGTTGACGGACGAGGCTGCCCTTTGCGGTCTCATGCGGGTTGGCATCGTCCGCGGGTTCGTGTGTCAGAGGAACGGCTCAGCGTTGGCGCAGAGCGACGGTAGCTGGGCTGTAATGTCGGCAGCGTTGGACTTGTTTTCCCCCGTAGACCTCGCTTCCTGTTAGCCTCGGGCTCGCTGGAAAATCGACATTATGTTAATGACCGAGCAGGTATAGTTAGCCAACACAAAAGAGGGGGTGTAACTTTGCTGCCTGCGATAGCCAGTCCTTCCACCTGACTTCTATTTTTCCTCACAAATCTATGCTGATAACTTTTATTTAATGCCTAGTATCCGGGTTAGTTTGCTAGCGCTCCTCAGCTAGCCATCTTTGCTCGGGTTGACGGCTTGAAGTGTTGAACTTGGTTGGGTTTTGATGACAAAGAGCAGGCGGTGTTAAGTTGATGGTAAATATACGTGTTTGCAACGGGCTCACTCGTGTAACCAGTGCCTATAAAATACTTTAATTTCTTATAACAGTGTTCAAAGCGAGAGACAAAAGGAAGAAAAAAGGCTTGTTCTGGTATTGAGGAACATAATTGATTTTTGTTGTCGATTTCTTTTGTAGAGCACACACATAAACTGTATTACTTTAGATATTTTGCTTGCAATTGTACTAAAAGAATAAACTGAAATAACGTTTTTGCACACAGTGATAGCGAATGGAGCAGAAGCAGATTGTGTCTGCATGCTATTTCAGGGCTGTGCTTCCCTGAACCTGCAGCTTCCAGGTTTATTTAATTTGATTAAATACTCATTTAAATGCATCATAAATTACTACGAGTAGCTGATATTCTCAAGTAATAGCTAAGTTGGTCGCGGAGAAGCGGTTGCATCTAGTCCACCTCCTCATCCACCCATCTATCCATCCATCCACCGCCGCCCACCGCCTCTCCGGCCATGGACCCCCCCAGGACTCGGTCGCGGTCTCGATCCGGCTTCTATCATTTCTCCATGAACGGCAGCGTTGGAGGCAACGACGGGGGCTTGATGAGCGCCAGCGGAGGAGGGGTGAGCTACCCGCCGCCGAGTAACCCCGGCTGGGCGCCGCACCACGGAGGACGGAGCTACCCGGAGAGCCAGCAGCAGCAGCAGCAGCCGCTGCCGCCGCAGCAGCAGCACGCCCAGGGGAGCTACCTGTCCGCGGGGGTGCAGCGCCACTCTGCACACGGAGCTCACAGACACCCCGGGGCAGGTAAGCAGGCTTTAGAATAAACGGGGCCCACATCCAGGGGAGTTGGGAGGGGGTAGATGCATCATTACACACTCACACAGGATAAACCCCCTGAGGGCTGCAGGCAGACCACTTGCAGCTTTATCAGGCTCTGAGGCATTTAAGTAAAAGGTTTTAGTGTTTTCACTGCCAGCTGACGCATAGAGGGGCCAGCTGTATGTTAAATGTTGTGGTGGAAGTTCAGCTGTGAAGGTTATACTGATCTGAGAGGTTAGAAAAAAAATAAGGCCAAGTAGATTTCTGAAAGCCATTGTTTTACCTTTACAGAGATTTGTTCCAGAACAAACAAATCTAAAAACAAATGGTGTTAAAACTCCCCATAAATAGCAAGTTTACTAAATGGATCTCCTTAAGTTAGTTTGTCGTCCCATTTATGCAGAAATTACAATAAAAAAATCTTGGTGAATAAAAGCCAAACACTTTGTGTTGTATCTAACATTTTCCATTTTAAGAAGATTACAATCAAAAATATTCCATTCATGTTTTTTTTTCAAGTTTGCATCTAAATTAACTTTGTTGTGCTGGGCTGACAGACTTTTATTCTTCTTAAATTGGAGTCGTGTGCCACACAAAATCATTGAATACTTTAACTGACCCACATACTTCAGTTTAGAAACCCTCCTTGCATTATGTAGCTGTAATGCTCCACTTGTGAAAGTAAGTCTGTTAGGTTCTCCTTGACAATTCCGACGCATTCAGAAAAACAAAACAAGAAAAATGTTTGCGTTAGATACGCAAACGTCGTGCTGCAAGTGGCATAACGGTCTTGCAAGTTGACATCCTGGAACAGATGTTTACCAAACGTCGCGTTAAAAGGACCGAATCTGATTTCTGGATGATGTGAAATGTCTGGGGAAACTATTAATCACTTTCATCAGATGCACTGATGGTTTACAAGCAAATCAAATGACACCTGTTGCCCACTGGTGTTTGTTACTTTAAACTGCTCAAACTTTTGGTTTATTTGAAATTCAAGGAGCACTCTACTTTTATTAGAAATATTAACTTAGACCTGGTTATTTTAATTAAGCGCTTGACTTTGAACCGTAGTTATTGACGTGTTATAGCCGGATTCTGCGATTCTTTTCAGTTTCCCCACTGCTGGTCGAGTCTGGATTAAATGGTAGTTGAGCGTTTTCTTTGTAAGATGAAAGAATTAAAACGCACGTACTTATCAGATGACAGAGTTTTAGATGTCCCACAGAAAGCTCCCAGTCATTTGACTCTAAATACATGATGTTCTTGATACAGAGCCCTTCAAGTCCTTGAAGCAGCCGTTCTAAACAGCTTAAAATGAAATCATCTATTGTATGTTACTTTTTTTATCTCTTTTTTTCCCCCTCTCCTTAGATTGCCAACTGCTGTGACACCAGCTGACTTGTGTGTTACTCTCGGTTGAGTTTTTTTTTTTAGTCTTTTCATCCATGACAACTAATGGTGTTAAAGTTAGATCCAGCCGCCTTGAAGCTCTGAGTTGTCCTCAAATTGTCAGGCTTAGCAGAGGACAGTGAATGTTTTGAAAAGCACAAAAGTTAAGACGACGTCTATGTTTTTGTTCTGTGAAAACACAAACATTGACTGCCATGTCAGATTTATCTCTATTGACTGACGATAAAGTATTTATTCACAACAAAAATAAATAATATGAATGAAACAGATTTTAATATCAAGCAACAACCAAGATACCCTTATTTCTTTTTGCCCTGAGTTTCCACGTCAAGGTTCAGCGAGTTTTCCCTGCTGACCTCTGGAAAGTTGCTAGAGAAAACTTTTGGAACAGCAGACTGGATTTTATCAAAAAGGGGTGAGGGGGGGGGTGCGTGGGGGAGCTCTGAGATGGATTAAAATTTAAGCTTTCGATAAAACTGTGTTGTATTAGCAGCACTGTCCCCAAAAAGCCAAAATGCAAAGAGAGTCGTTTTCTAATCTTGCAGGCCACAGGCAGGTTTCTGTTGGGGGTCTTAAACATGCATGTTGTGAGCTCTCCCTAAGCAACCATCTGCATATTATGAGTGCAGGCAAAGACTATTAATGCTTATTTGGTTGTGCTTTTTGGTGTTTTACATCCCTTGGCGTCAATTTGTGCAGTATAGGACTGATCGTACTGGGTCTGGAGCATGTGGTTGCACAGCGCAGCTTTAATAATAATCAATGTTGCATCCCACCCACATGGACTGATAACAGAACTACTTTTAATTGCGACACCACATTACTGTAGATGGATTGCGTCTCTAAAAACAGCGTTTCTATTAGTGGCTCAACATATAAAAGCTAGTTGCAGTAAGACCTTGCTCGGTTTTCGATCGTGTTTGGTTGGGAAGGGAGAAATGGTGTCAGTCTTCCCTAGCAACTATGCTTGAAGGAAACAGGGTCATGTCTGCTCGCCAGTGAAACCCGTCCGTTCTGGCTTGAAATCCCTTCTCCTTTTGCCCTTGGGATGAATCAGCATAACTAGACCTAGTTTTCCATAAAAAAATGGGTGTGTTGGGTTCTGGACAGTTTGAGATGTAACAGAGGGGAAAAAAATTGGCTTGTTGGATATATAAAAGTGCAGTGCATTGGCCTTGCTGTAGTTGTCATGAGCTACTGACGGTGTTCGAGTTGTCCGCTTCTACAGAGGTTGTATGACTCGAGAGTGATGTCACAAAAACAAGAAAATCAAAGGGGTTTGTTTAACCCAAAAGGCTTTTGGTTTAAGGCGGGCTTAGAATCAGGAAGGAATAAAGGGATGAGTTTCTGCCCTATTTTTGGTGACACATAACCTGTTTTTTTTTTTTTTTTGTTGTAAGCAAGAGAATGTTTATCAGTTTAATGTGTCCGTGCTCATGTTGCATCCACACTGCACATGTCATATAAATAGATGAGAACCCTTTCCATAAATCTGGGTATTAATTAGGCTCAGTGGTCATATTCTTCTTTGTTATTATGGTGATATTTTTATAAAATGTTATTGTTAGGGTAGAAGCAGGACGCTTTCATGTTCTCTGAAATGAGAAAATAAAAACTCTCATTATATTCATTTTTTTTAAATGTAGCAGACTTTGCTTTAGAGCTCTTGTTTGTTTTTTTGGAAAACAAAGTAAATGTCATCTAGATGCATTTAGGAAAAAAATACTAAATTGTAGAAGGTTATCTTGTGTTGTATAAAAGAAGTTGAACTTTTTTTGCTGCTTCATTATTTCTGAAGGGACCTTGTTTGCTGCTTATTGTGGAAAAATGTTGAATGATAAGGCTAAGATGTCAATGTATAAATGGTTAATAGTTTTGCTCAAGGCAACTTATAGCAATTATATGAGCTTAAAATCATTATTTATTGTTATAGCTGTTATTATAGTGACCGTAGTTGTTGGTAAAATGGTAGATTTAGAGCTCTATTTTAAAACTATGTTGTGATTGATTTGTTGTTGCTGATGTTTTGGCTGATTAAATGTGGACCATAATTTACACAATTAAGATTATGTTAAGATTTGCATCCATTTTCAATTTGCATCCTTGGTTTAGCTACCCTGCAGTTGTAACCAAAACATATTTGGCTTACAATGCTTAAACAAAGAAAGTCAACCTTGCAATTTGAACGTCTGATATAAACAAATGAATGACTTATTTGCATAAGTAAATATTGTAGTAAGTTTCTGCCTGGTCTGTTTTAGGTGACACACTTTAATGTTAGTAATAAAGCTGTAGAGAGTTTTAACTAAAACATACAGTGATACTCCATTGTGATGCCCCTTTTCATTGATGCCCGTTTGTCTTTCCAAGCTTTTTGTGTTGAATTAGAAGAATATGTTGTGAGGTTGTTCTGTGTCTTTTATTTGTTCTTTACATCAGTAAATGGTTTTAAATAAAATCTTACTTTGTGAACTTAACTATAAATCTTTATCAGACCTCTGTCACCGATTGAAACCAAGCAGCCAACCGGGTTCAATCACTGTATTGTTTGCTTTTTGGCATACATGATGACCATCCTCCCTTTTGTTTACTGTAGATGTGCTGGCTAAGCAAGAGACGCTCACTGTCTTGTGATGTTGTTTTTCTCAGCTTTGTTTTTATCTGATGAAGTATTTTTTAATTATTATTCTACAGGAGGGTTGCTGCATTTTCATCCAGATAATGTGTGCAGTGAGGATCGAGACAAAGTAAGCATCAAAGACCATTACTTCCTGCTGTCCCTGCTTTGCTCCTGGTTTGAATAGAATTTGTATTTCATTGTTTGCTCAGTCCCATGCGTCCTTCCCTTTTTATCTGCTCCCTTATTTATTCCTTCTCCTTTATGTGCAGATGGAGGACAGCCCAAGCCCCAAAAGGCAGCGTCTTTCCCAGCAGTCCATGTTGGACCTCGGCTCGGCTCCTCCCTCCACTCCTTCCTCTCCCATTCGGCCGTGGGAGTTGCCCCCGAGCCGACGGCCCCACCCCCACTACATGCCAGAGAGATGCCACACACCTGTCAGAAACCGCCGCAGGTATGTTAGTGACACAGTCCCCTTGAAAGTGCCATCTAATGATAAGAATAGTAAACAATAAAAAGAAGAGCAAACACAAGAGGTTTGCATGCTGCAGACTATCTCTTGAGGTTCAGGTTTTGCACCAAGGAGAGGTTTTTATCACTTTGTTCTTCATCAGACGTTGTGAAAACAAAAAATACACAGTAAGCATCAAGCCTTTAAATATAGACGGGTGTGATAAGAGACACTTAAACAAGAAGAGAAACATGAATAAATGTATGATGAATACATGCTCTAATTATGTAATGTGCAAGTATGCATATAAAATGTGTCATAATTAAAAGCAATTTTAATTGCTGTAGTTATGGCAAAACTTCAGGGAAGTTTTAGTATATGAGGAAAGCATGAAGAAAGTGCTAGAGAGGGAATAAATAAGGGAGCAGAAAACTTTACCAAGATAATTGAATAAATTATTTGTTAAAGATACCTGTGGGATTTTTCTCTCCTCTCCATAGTGCCATTCAATCATGTAAATTGAATTAATGGCTCTTTGTTTCACAGAACTCACATTCAACAGTCCAGCTTTGTTTAAGGATCTCTTGGTGTGAAAACTTTGTTGTGGAAATCTTGTTTAGAGCTTGTTCTACTGTCATTGTCCACCATTTGTCCAATAGCACCTTCATACTCCCTCGTTCTTTCCTCATTCTGTCACATAACGACAACCAATCTAAATGTATTTTGAGATATTATATTAGTCTCACACAAAGAAGTGCACAACAATATAACATTTGCTGCACATTTTAGTTTGGGATATCATAGCAAACAACTTGAATGTATTTTTGGTAGCATTTTATGTGATGGACCAACATTCATTAGAGAAGTTTGTTAATTGATGTGAAGACGAATGGAGCAAAAATACAAGGCACATCTAGTAGAGAAGCTGGTAGACTGTAAAATACTGATCTCTCTGTCTGTGTGTGTGTGTACAAATGTCAACAAGCTATCACCATAAATAAGATATTTTCTCATGCTGTGAGCTGTTTTCACATTGTTTCAATCACATAATTATATTGAATTAAATGATGAGTTCATATTTTTGTCTCTAACAGAGTAATCAGTATTTCATGTTCTCTGTTTTACTATTTTAAAGCTCTCTGAAAATCTAATCTACCTTAATAAGGGCATTCATTTAGGGAAAACTTGATACTGCTGGGTATTCTGTTGAGGTTTTAAAAACGTCCATGTTTTGTGGATGGACGTCGTTTCAGGACATTTTGAAGCAGCTTGGAGGGTTCCAGTTCTTATAGGCTCAAGTTTAAATCTAGTGTGTTTGTGTGCACTACAGTAACACGACAGCTACAACAAACATCCTGACATCTCAGACAGAGGCAAAGATGTCAAGATGTTGGGTTTTGTAGGAAGAAACGGTTTGAAAGAGACAAACGGAAGAGATACATTTGTCTTTTTTTTTTTAAGTTCACTTGTGCACATATTTTCAGATTTAAGTATTGAAAAAAATCGGGAATTGCTTACATTGGAAAAATAATGCAATTTTCTTTATAATTTTTATCATTGAGTTTTCAGATTATTTTATATTAATGTCCAGATTTTGACATTCTACCTTATAGCACAACAAAGTTTTATAGCTGCTTCCTGCTTTTAATTTTGCATTTGTTTACCCCAATCAGCCTAAAGTGTTTCTCCCTAAATATTCCAGGTTTAGCCAGAAATTCAAGTTAAACCTTTTTTTTTTTTTTTTGTAGTTTATCAACATGGCTCTTTTTGGCTCTTTAGTTTTCCTGCTGTTTCTCTCCAGCCCTCCAATGAGACGCCAGCGTGGCCGGCGAGACCGTCTGACCCGCCACCACCACCACTATAACGGCAACAACAATCACCACCACCATCACCACCCAAACAGCCACCACCATCACCACCATCTCCACTCCCACCACGGCCCGTCACCGGGACATCAGGACGAAAACTACCGCCACCCAGCTCCTCCTCAGGGCTACCCACCCTACAGCCAGCAACCCCCGCGAGGGCCGGGCTCCGGCCCCGAAGACCGTCCAGGTTACCATCCCCCCAACCCCTCCCCGAGGCCCCTGCACCAGTCACCGAACCTGTCGCCCAGGCTGCTGCACCCTGGAGCCCATCCGCAGCACCCACACCCCCACCCGTCCCAGCAACAGAGCAGTGGGGTCCTAGACCTCCAGGAACAGGTGGGCTTAAGGGGAATCAAGCAGATTTATTTGTTTTTATAAAGGTGCAGAAAATGCAAAGAGAAGATTAAATTAACTAAAGATCAGAAGCCAGACCTGCTTTTTACAGTGCAACAAATGTCTGTCTAGATTCGCAGTCATCCAGGTTTACTTGATACAAATTTTCTTGCTGTTTGTCTGCTTGCTTTAAATTGGGTATGTTGGAGATTTATTTTTTTAAATTGTTCACCATGTATAGCAAATACTTCAGAACTGAAAAAGACTTTTTGACTTGAGCCATCGTCTAGAACCATAGAAACCGTTTTTTAAGTCAACACTTAGTAAGTTGGGCTTGTCTTCTGCCACATTTGTATTTAATACGTGTATAAACTAAAGTTAATATAAGTTTCCTCTAAAAGGAAGGATCTTGCCCTGTGTAACAATTGCAGATGCTTGATCGGTAATTTGCAGGTCAAATTAAAGAAAAATCATAATGAGTCAAAACTAAGAACTGCCAACATTATAGCAATGCTTTTTTTTAACCTTTGTTAAAGAAAATTCTGATCCGGTTTAGCAACATTTGCTTTAGTACAACAATGGGAATAATCTTAAAACACAGAAAAAGAAAAAAAAAAATCCTTAATTTTTGTTTGGATCCAGTACCACTAACTCAAAGAACCAGCAACATTTTCCTAACTAAACGTAATCAAACAAAAATTAAAATTTCCAGAAGTTTTTAAATTGACTTGAATTTAGACATTTTGGCAACACTTAAAGTATTTTTTTATACATATATTTCTGCAGAAGTCCAGGCACATTTCAAAGCATTTATCGAAAACTGAAAGACAGACGATCAAAGCTGCAGCTCAGCTCTGTTTTCCACTTTAAATAATATTGCAGTTGGAGCAACAAACGGGAATGCTTTTCTTGTTGGCAGGCGTTGTTGTGGGCTTTTAATCACTGTGTGTGTCCAAAGTTTAAAATCTTCTGTTTGGTTTCAGGGTTCGGTTCCGGTATCGTACCCGGTCTCCCCTCCGGGTGTGCCGCCCGGCCTGCCGCCTCGCTCCGCCCCGCAGCAGATCCCAGCATGCTCTGTGGTTTTCAGCGGGCAGCACTATCCCGTCTGCAGCGTCCCTCCTCCTGTAAGTGTTAGTTTTTAAGTCATTTTAGTTCAACGTTTTCTCAAACGAATATCTTCTCCACATGATATCTTTGACATTCTCCAGTCAACATTCTTCGCCAAGTGAAAAACGTCTTTTCATATCTACGTCAGGTTCTTCAGACTTGTTCCGTTCAGCATTTGCCCATGCCCTACCCGTTCCCCTCGTTGCTGTCCAGTGACCCGACCTTCTTGATCCCCCCTCCTCACCTCGCCCACCCTCCAACGCATCTCTCCCACCACCCGCCTCACTTGCCGCAGCCGGCGCAGTTTGGACCTTATCCGGCGCAGCAGGCTCGATCGGTGAGTAAGAAGCCTCGCAGTCGACGGGCCAAAGTGCCGTTGCTCATCTTTGTTCGCATCTTTTTGTTCAAAATCTTTTGTGCGTTTGGTTGGGGGGAAAATAAATCTGTAAATGTAAAAACCTTTTGAAGCTTCATCTATTAGGGACATCGCTACTCATTGCTTGAACATTAACAAAAAGCAGTAAGGCTGTTCCTTAGTGTGTGAACAAAATAGGATTATTTAAACTTCTAATTTATTAACAATTTACAGTGTGTAAATGAACAAGGAGCAAAATGGATAAAGACTTCATTATGGAGTCTTGTCTCTGATAAAATGGATCAGGATTGTGCAACATTAATGTCCAGGTGCTGGTGTTGGTTGTTACAGAGGCAGACAGTCTTTCTCTTTTTTTCACACTTGCTGCCACTCATGCTGGACACATTTTGCTGGTTGTGTTTTGTAATCACAATTATTATGTGGGAAGGTTATATGTGATGTAATGGTGTCTAAAAAGACATTTGCTTAAATTAGCCTTTAATTTTTAAAGTTGGCACAGTCGTTAATCCCGTCAGTTTCTTTCTAAAGGTTTTATTAGGAAATTTTGTTTCTAGACCCAAATTAATTTGCTTGTATTTCTTTTGTCAGACTTAAAAAAAAAAGGTGGTAAAATTATTTTTCAGCTTTTTTTTTATACTACTTTCCAATATTTTTAATTGTTTTGAATTTATTTTCTGTGATAGACAAATAAAATTATTATTTTCTTTGTCCTCTGCAGCCTTTACAGAGGATAGAGAACGACGTGGAGCTGCTGGGGGAGCATCTTTCTCTGGGTGCTGGGCTCCACTACTCCCCCGCCGCACACCCAGCCCTCACCCCGCACTCGACGCCTCTCCACTTCCTCTCCCACGAGCCCCTGCCACAGGAGTTCTTTGGAGTGGTGAGCTTTGGAAAAATAAATGCATTTTAAAGCTGAACATTTCTTCTTTCTGTGTGAATTAACTCTGACATGTCTCTTTTATCTTCCCTGAAGTCTTATCCAAATTTCATTCCTCGGCGTCTCCCAGGACGGCGGTACCGTTCGCAACAGCTTCCACCTTCGCCTTATCACCCCAGCCTCCTGCCTTACTTCCTGTAAGTTCACTGGGAAACATGCCAACCTAAAAAGACAGCAAAAATAATTACAGTTTCATAATTTTGTCCTGATGACTTTTTAATTGATTTCTCTTTGCACAGATCAATGCTGCCAGTCCAGCCCACGGGTCCTGCAATCAGCCTGGAGCTGGATGTAGATGACGGAGAAGTGGAGAACTATGAGGTTTGCTTTATGCCGTTGTTATTCATGTTTATCGTTGCCAGATTCAGGCTTTTATACTCTTTCATTGTTGCTGATGTTTTCCCCAAAGGCCCTCCTGAATCTTGCTGAGCGCCTGGGAGAGGCCAAACTCCGCGGACTGACCAAGGGGGACATTGAACAACTCCCTTCCTATCGATTCAACCCAAATAACCATCAGTCTGAGCAAACACTGTGAGCACTGCCCTTTCAAAGCACCTTCACATGCTGATAAAAGCCAAATATTATTGTTTTCTTTGTGTTACAGACTGCAGTTTATAAGTGATGGCTTTAATCTGCATGTTTTGTGCGTTTCTCTAAATCCAGAAGCATCTAGAAGTTTTCCACACTTGGTGTGACTTTGTTACTTTAAGACGACTGTAGATATCCGTCTGCTGTAAGAATAATGTCACCTAAACAGACAAGGTCTCTTCAGAATAACGTTCTGGAAGCACAAGCTTCTTTCTGCATGTTTACACAGCAGGATTTGTGTGCTGCAGAACTGTACACTAACACAAGTCTGGTTACAGGTGTGTGGTATGTATGAGTGATTTCGAGTCCCGTCAACTGCTGCGAGTCCTTCCCTGCAGTCACGAGTTCCATGGAAAGTGTGTCGACAAGTGGCTGAGGGTGAGCTGGCGCCCCCCTGAGTCCAGGAGGAACTCTCAACCTTTGTTTTTATTGATAATCATGGCTTGTATAATCGTGCAAAAATCAGTTTATTAGAAAATTGGGTGTTTTAAAAAACGATTCAGTCGAAAGGTGAGCTTCCTGAAAAGTATGTCCATATGCTGTACAGTATGTATCAAGACTTGGTTGTGGCTCCTTTTACTTGACTGACTTCTTCATTTCAACGAGAAGAGCTTATTTCAGGAAGTATTGGTTTAATAAGCCTTCAGTTAATCTTTAATGTTTGGTTCTGGTGTCTGTCACCTTTGATGGCTTCAGGTCAGGCCAGTTTGTGGCCAATCAAGCTCAGGGTAATTAAAGTAGCTATTGGTACTTTTTGCAATGTGGGCAGGTTCCTGCTGCAAAGTGAAACCAGCATCTCCATGAAGCTTGTTGCCAGATGGAAACATTGAGTGCTCCGACATGTTCTTGTAGATTTATTGAACAGAGTAGTACAAGGTAAACTCCAACAGATGACATGTCATCACTGACTGTGGAAACTTCACATTGGACCTCAAACAAAATTAGAAGCTGTACCTCTCAAGTCTTTCTAGGCTGTCATTATCTCTTGTGTTCCTTTTTCTACCAGAAGGTTTTTCTTCTCTTCAACTTTCCATCAATGTTCTTGTATTCAGAGCTCTGTAGCTGTTGTAGCAATTATGTTTAGGGTCAGAAACTGTCTGCTAAACACCTGACAGGTCATCTATCTTCCCCGTGATTGTGTACTGTAGATCATAACATAGCTATAACATGCAATTCCTGTCTTATGTTATATTTATCTTCGTGAATTCATAATTTTGGGCTGTTATATTCTAATTTCTGGTGAGGCATTTTAATTTCTCAGTGAGTTTTTGCATCTTTTTTTTTTTTTTTTTTTTTTTATTTGGTTTTAGTGTTTCTGCTGAGAACACTGCTGATATGAAATGTCTCCTCTGTTTGTCTTCAGGCCAACAGGACGTGTCCGATCTGTCGAGCCGACGCCTCCGAGGTCCAGAGAGACTCAGAGTGACCACAAGAGGGAGCCATACGCTTCCTCCTGTTGGTCTAACACATCTAGCACTGCCTGCTCCTGATAAATTGATGCACATCTACGTTCTCATACACACACACACACACACACACACACACACACATATGCAGCGTTATCTTACATGTCGGTGGAGCACTTTATTCCCCATAGTTAATCGTACATGTTTTCTTTACTCCGATAACTTGTCACACTCCTTTGATACATGCACACAGGTCCTCACGTTTAAGTGAATGACCCACCTTCCTGCAGTACTGTGTGTGTGTGTGTGTCTGCGTAGATGTGTATGCACCACAACTGTGCAGACATTGGTCAGCTCTATATTGCAGGGCTTCGGTACATGACTGTGTTATCAGTGTGTGTTTGTGTGTGTAGGTGTGGGATGGATTTTAGGGATTCTGGAGCATGCATGAATTGTTCTTCTGTATTGGACAAAAGTAACAATGATTTTTTTTTTTGGCTCTTATGATTGACTTTTCTTCCTGTTTTTATATGTTTATGCACTGTCTGTATGCATACTCGGTGTGTATGTATGTTATAGACTTTTCTCTAGTTTGACACTAAGGGTCCATGCTGCCACTGTATTTCTCAGTTGCTCGTTTGAAATATTATTATTACTATTATTATTATTATTATTAGCAGTATAACTGGTTGTTTTCCTGCCTGAAAGTTACCTCATCATTCCGTTCTAATTACAAATGCTTCATAGCACCACTTTGACTTTTAACAAATATATTTTCCTTTCTTTTCAAAGAAAACGTTTGTGGTTTTGCAGTGGCACATGTTACATATATCTATATATACTGTAAAAATATATGAATATCTATATACCAAATAAAAGGCTTGATATGAACTTTTTAAATTTTGTATTTTGTAATAATTGTTAAGTAAAGACTGAGAATTGGAGTGAGGAAAAAAATATGCGGTTTTATTGGGCTACTTGTCATGATGTATATAAACCTGAAGCTTAAGCTGCATTCAAGTTGTACTCGGAATTTGGAAATTCTGACTTCCTACTCGAAAAAAATCAACCAGAATGCTAATCGAAGGAGGATTTTCATCATGGCTGCTCCTCACGTCAACATTACTAAGATGTAGTAAAGCTATTTTACTAGACTCTCATACAGCTGTGAGTCCAAAATCAAATGTTACACTTAACACCTGCCTGCACCTGTAAACTAAAATTAAAAATGGTGTTTGCTTATGAAATTTAAAGCTTAAAATTGTGCTTGTAAGCGGTACTGCAAACTATGTCGATGGTCGTGGCCATTTTGAAATCCAGACTTATTTCAGGCTAGAGGTGAGTTCTGAGTTCCGAGGTTACTGGAACGCAGCATCAGAGCGGACAGATTTTATTGGATGCAATAACCATATTGACCACTAGATGTTGCCACTGTTCTTCTGCATTTACCGACTTGGATCATATCTTTGCTCAAGAGAGAAAATTGTTAAGTAATGGCTAAAATGATAAAAAATATTAAGAGCAGTAATGAGGTTTTTATTATAAACACACTTGTTGAAACATTTAGCAGTTGTAACTCAGGGACTTTGTTCTGTTTGACTATAAGTTGCATCGTGTCGAAGGAATCATGCCCCTCTTAACAAGATTGCAGCAATTTAGAGGTTTCTTAACGTCCCACCACATTGTATTAATTTAGCCAAGGTCTAAACTTATTTTGTTTTTATTTTTTTCTGCTATTCTGTTGATAATATCCTGCTAGGATCATTTTGCTACATTCGGTACACATTTGGCTTCATATTTAATTCCAAACACTTTGTTCTGAAGAGACGTTGAAGGTTGGTTCAGTAGAAGTGGTGAAATTTGCTAGTGATCAGTGATTAAGATGCTTTTTTTCTGAGCAGCGTCTAGTTTCTCTCTTCAATCCAGTAGAAGCAGAAGGTTGTACTTACTGTGGTTTTTAAATGCAGTTTTCAAATCCAGTTTTTGTTTGAGGTTAAACTTGAGTCATTTCAGAACCTTGTAACCTAAGAGATTGTTGTTCCTTTTAAAACGACGGCTTACTTTTGGTGGAATATTCTTACACTTTACAGTGACAGAAATGTCAGCGTAGAGTTTGTGCACAGATGAGCCGTCCAACACGTCTCCCTGCAGCAGTGCCGTTGTCCTGTGCCTTCTGCTGATGAACAGCATTTGTGCTACTGTACAAACCTATGAAATGTTGTATGTTGAAATTCAAAGGCCAGGTGTCACCTCTAGGCTTTCATGCACAAATGGCCTCATTTTCACAAGTGGCTTGCCTGGGGCTGATTGAGGCACACAAAACACAAATGTCACTGTACTTACGAGGGCACACCATACAGAAAACACCAGGAAAGAAGTAGGATCATGTAATCTGTTTTTGGATGCACCTAATTTTTGGTGTCACAATTACGATTTTGCATTAGAACCACACATATGTCGGATTCAGAGGTCAAGATCGAGAAAAGATGTTGAAATTATTTTTGTTTGCACACAAATACTGGGTGTTTTAATCATTATTTTGTATTTTAAGCCTACATCTGAATGTTGTGTATTTTTCTCAGCGCTATTGAATCAAGTCTCAAAGCGACAGTGAAAACTCCTGCTGTCAGGTCTGACACCCAAGTTCTTGGTTGTGCCATAACATTTTGTGTCTGCATAGAAGACTGTTCGTGTATTCATGAAAGATGCAAACATTGGTATAAATCAAGCTCTAAAAGTCAAGTTGGGAGACTGTTAAATCATGTGTTGCCACCAGATTCAGTTCTTGTAAGTGGTTGCAGAAGCTGCTTTTGCTTCCCAACACACGGGTAAAAACACTCACTCCCCCAACGAAGCCTGTTTTGCACAAATAAAATCAAGTTTTCATTGTGAAACTAATTACACATCAAACACTAAAAAACAAATTGGTCTTCTCTGGACTTTTATTTCTTTCTTTGTATCAGGGTTTCACAGATCATGGCCATATTAATTCAACATCATCAGCCATGCAGTGGCCATACAGTGTAAACCGAAAACTTCCAGCTGGTGCTGTTTTTGTGTTCTGATTACCTCTGCGCCCACCAATCTGCGCTGCCCTGGGGAGAAAGCCATTTCAGTCGGTAAAATAATTCTCACAAAGTACAGAACAATTGTCACTACTGCTTCACTAAATATGGCTGACAAATTCCACAGCATGAATGCTTCAAATCTTACATCCCTTGTATGCCACATGTGATAATGCTGCTGCATGGCTACTTCTAAACATTCCCAACAACAACATTTACCAAATGTCATGCAAAACAATGCAAACACTCTGTGTGCCCTGTTAAAGATTCACCTTCATTCGAATGCAACATGGCTGAACACGAATGCATCCTTTCTGATTCATTAAAGCAAAAACATTAACAGAAGGCTTTTACTTAAATACTGAAGAAAAACGCGACCCCACACCATCCTACAGCTAAACTCACAAAAAAAAAAAAACACATAAAAAGGGATGAACACATCATATTTGAAAGAAGTGACAGGATTTTATTTCACAAAAGTTGCTTCGTTTAAACCTTGGTGCCAGCTTGCATGGCATGAAAAGCAACAGGGTGACAGCAGCTCTAAATTTAAACTTTTTGCCTAATGGAATGAGGTGCCTCTTTTTCCTGACCTGATGAGTCACCAAGGGTTTTTTTTATTTATTTTTTTTATTTTTATCCCACCTAACTTCTAGCTTCTAGTCCCCAGTTTTCTTTTACTAATGCATCCCCTAACACACCCCGATCTTCTGCTCCATCACCTCATTTCCTGTTTCTGCTCTTTCTCCTCAAACGCCTCTTTCTTCCCATGTAGTGACCTGACTCTCCTTGCTCTCTTCTTGTCTTTTTACGTATGCACCCTCCCTTTCAGCCTCCTCCACTGCCTCTTTGCTTCAGCCGTGATCACCACCCACTCCTTTAACCTGCTTCCGCTGCACTGAAGTGGAAGTGATGGGGGACTTCTGTCTGGAACTGGCGGCGCAGACATTTCCGGGAACAGACTCAGCTTGCCGTGTCTTACCCATGTTTTACCCAGACATAATATTATATTTCTTACTGAAGCTGTTCAAAGTTGCCCAACTTTAACAGAAGAAATTAGCCAATTAGCTAAAAAAAAATATTCAACTCGATCCAATATTTATTTGAAAAATGTAATGCAATTGTGAAGGTTAAACCTTGGAATACCCATAAAGTGCACAAGTCCGTTTTACACAGTGTGGATTACATTCCCCATATTTGTTACAGCTACAAAACATTTTAAAATGCATCACATCTGATTTCCTCACGAACTGCTTTGCCTATTATTAATTTATTTATTTTCCACAGCTGAGGCTTTAGCACCCGAGAGGAATCCCAGTGGTGAAAGTTCTGGTTTGAATGTTCTGTTTGGTTGGTTGGTCTCACTCTGGGTTTGTGTGTGTGTGTGTGTGTGGATGTCTTGAGGCTTTGCTCCAACAACCGATGTGTTTCAGACAGCTTGTCTAGCAGTGACACAGAAGAAGATCAGTTTTCCCCATTTGTGTCTTTCAGTATCAGATTAGAAAGAGGGAGAGAGGGCATCACATTGAACAATTATGTAACCAATGAACGCAGTCATTCTTCAGAAAGCCTTTATTCTGATTACACAAGCAAACATTTTCTGTCATCAGCTCAATGGATGTTTTTCAGAGCACTGAATCATTGTCTGACATGTTGTTCAGTGATCCTTGTTATTCTTCAGATTTTCCAAAATTTAACAACCGAATATTAAATTAAAATCACCTGCATTGAAATTGTCAGAGTTTTCTGTGTTTTCGGGCCAATTTTGAAATTATAAACACAAAAGTTCACACTATACATAAGGCATGTATCTCAACAGTTAACAGGCAGTAAAACGGAAACAGCACAGGCTGGAAGGATGGAAAGATCGAAAAACGAAAACAATGTAAAGACCAATGGAGAAAGTCTGTCTGAATACACAGAGGGATGACAGGAAAAAAGGATAAATGACTGTAGATAAATGGATAGATGTAAACAGGGTTAGATGAATGGGCACATAGAAGAACAAATAGATGAAGGCGTGGGAAAACTAATGAATGGAAGGATGGATGGACATAACGGACAAATACATGGATGAATGAATAATTGAGAGGATGAATTAATAGGTCGATAAATTAACACGTAAAAATGGATGGACGGAAGAATAATGGGTGGATGGATTGAGGACAAAACCAATGTATATTTCATATATGCTTTATATATTTCACAGAAGAGATGGTTAAATTTTCCTCTCTTTCTTGTACTCGACTTTTATTGTGTATAAAAGCAAAAAAGAAAAAGAGAGGAAAAACTCTTGCTTGTGTGGGAGAGCATGTGTGTAGTGTGCAGACTGTCCCAGGCTGACAGGGTACACGACTTCTCCATCCTGCTGTTATATAAAAGGAAAGTGAGAGCATCAAGCTCTGCCTGCCTCACGTTTATTC